CCCAGAACTGGAGTTACAGATGTTTGTTAGCTGCCATGTGGGTGCTGAGAACCAAACCTGGGTCTTCTGCAAGAGCAGCCAGTGCTCTTAACCATTGAGCCATCTCTCTAGTCCCTAGAAAAAAACTTAAAAAATTTTTGTTATTTATGTGTATGTGTGTGCCTGCAGTGGCCAGAGAGAGTCAGATCGTCTGGCTGGAGAAACAGGTGGTGGGTACTGGGAACTGAACTCCAGTGCTCTGGAAGAGCAGCAAGTGCTCTTAACTGCTAAGGCATCTCTCCAGCTTGAAAATTTATACATGCACGTGCATACACATGCACACGCACACACATATTCGACACAGTCATATATCCCAGGCTGACCTCATATTTACTATGTAGTTGAGGATGACCTTGCCTCCACCTCCCAAGTGCTGAGATTACAGTCATGGACCACCACTCATGGTTTTACGTGGTGCTGGGGATCAATCCCAGGGCTTTGTGCATGCTAGGCAAGTGTGCTGGATAGCTTTAGTGTCAACTTGACACCTGGGTTGAGGGAGCCTCAATCGGGGAATTGCGTCTATTGGACTGGCCTGTGGCCATGTCTGAGGGGCATCTTTTTGATGAGTGATGTCGGAGGGCCCAGCCCACTGTGTGTGGTGCCACCCCTGGGCAGGTGGGCCTGTGTTGCATAAGAAAGCAGGCTGAGCAGGGGCCAGGGGAGCAAATCAGTAAGCAGCGTTCCTCCATGGCCTGTGCTCTAGCTCCTGCCTCCAGGTTCCTGCCCTGAGTTCCTACCTTGGGCTCCCTGATGAACTGCGACCTGGGAGATGTAAGCTGAGTAAACCCTTTCCTCCCCAAGTTGGTATTGGTCAGAGTATTTTGTCACAGCAATGAAGAAACAAACCAGGAAAGCAAGGATGCTACGAACTGGTAAACTTTTAACCGTGGTTTAAAAATCAATAAAACTAGGTATACTTCTAAGAATGATAAGCTGTGTGAAAATAAAAGTTTTGTATTTAGATTCCAATATATCAGAGCAATTCCAGAGAAGGAGAGGAAGGGAAAGAATGAGAAAATTAGAGGAAGGCTGGGGAAGTGGCAGGCTCAGCAGGTAAAGGACTGAGGACCTGTGTTCCATCCCCAGATCCCAAGTAAAAAGCCAGGTTGAATGTCTAGCATCTAGAATCCGGGCACTTGTACAGCCAAATGGGAGGTGGAGACAGAAGAATCTGGTGGAAACTTGAGGACTGGTTAGTCTGGACTATGCTGCATAGCAGTAGCAAAACAGCATCCTCCCACAACAGAGGCAAAAATCACTTCCACAAGTTGTCCTCTGACCCTCACACGCACCACACACAAAAATGTTTAAAAACAAGAATGTTACAAAACACAGGCAAAAATCGGGCTGGAGGGATGGCTCAGCGGTTAAGAACACTGGCTGCTCTTGCAGAAGACCGGAGTTCAAATCCCAGCACCCACATGGCAGCTAACAACTGTCCTTATATAACTCCAGTTCCAGGGGATCTGACAGCCTCTTCTGTCCTCCACGGGCATTGCACGACACACACACACATGCAGGCAATACACTCATACACAAAAAATAAAAATAATAGGGCCGGGTGTGGTGGCACATGCCTTTAATCCCAGCACTCAGGAGGCAGAGGCAGGCAGATCTGTGAGTTCAAGGCCAGCTTGGTCTACATAGTGAGTTCCAGGACAGCTGGGGCTACAGGGAGACCCTGTCTCAAAAAGACCCCCCAAAAAATAAATAAAAAAATAAAACTAAAGATATAAATATTGAGAAAAAACAAAGCACAGGTAAAAATCTAAAGGCAACAAGGAAAAAAATGTTGACAGAATTGAGAGACTCACCACCCAGTTATAAAAGTCAAACTCAATCCTCATTTTTAAATTGGAAGGAAAAATTTCAAAGGAGCCAGCAGCTCAAATGACTGGAGTAGGTAGAGTATGAATGAATTCCTTACGCAGTGTGCTGTGTTAGGAACTGAGCAAGGATGGCAGGCATCCTAGTCACTACTGCTCCTGCTGCTCCTATCAGTCCATCTCTGGAATAAAATTTTCTCACCTGAAAAAATACGCGTTTGGGGTTGCTATAATCAGGAAGTAAAAATGCATGCAAGCTATGTAGCACAGGGTCTAGGGCAAAGGCAGACTTAATTTGTGGTAGCAACACCATTCTCATGACAGACTTTGCCTACTGAACTGCTTTCCCGGCTCCGAGAAAAAGTGCTTTTTAGAAATACCTTTCTTGAGGGGCTGGAGAGATGGCTCAGTGGTTAAGAGCACTGACTGCTCTTGCAGAGGACCCGGGTTTGATTCCCAGCA